TGTGACTGCAGCTGGGGAGCTGGCCTGTGCCCCAAGTGTCTCCGTAGAGCTGCCCCTGTCTGGGCTGTGGGGATCTTGGTGTCCTGTCCCAAGTCCACTGGCCCTGGACCAGGCTGTGCCACTTTAGGGAGTCTGCATGCTGAGCTGCCTGTGCTCTGCCGCCAGCCTCTGCACGCGCTTTTCACTGCCTCTGGCAGCAAAGGTCTCAGAGGCCTGGCTCTGCAGCACCCCCTTGGTCACTGGTGACCCTCTGTGCACCAAGCTGATCACACTGATGCCTGCCACCCACAGGATGATCCCTCACACCCACTCCACCAACTCATCCCTCTCCAAGCTGGCCCCCCGCAGTGGGCCAAGAGGATGCAGTGCTGGGCAGGGGCACAGCAGACCTGGCTGCCCCCAGCCTCTGGGCACCCACCTCACTCTCTCTGCTCTAGGTTACCCAATGCCTGGGGCACTTGTGGCATGGCATCAGGAGCTGGTGGTGTGGACAGGACGTCAGCTGTAGGAGATGGGCTGACTGCCTGGCCGGTCCACAGGGTGCCCCCCGCCCCTAGGAGGGAGCATGAGGTTTGGCCAGCTCTCTGGTGACTCATGGATCGACCCACACCCGCACCCCCAGGGTGGGGACACGGGCAGGCTGGGGTTGAGGTCACCCCAAGTGGTTCCTGACATATTTCCCCCATGTGTCATCAGGTTCTGGAACATTCCTCTCGGGAGGAGAATCTCAGCTGCCACTGGTGGCGCCCACAGGCCTGGCAGCCCCACCCTTTGAGGTCTTCTTGGCCTTGTGAGGGCTGTGTTACAGCCCCCCAGACTGGGAGGTGGGTCAGGAAAGGGAGCTTGGGGGGTGTCACCAGAGTCTGCAAGTGCACGTCCTTGTGTCTGCCCCACGAGCTCCTGACAGCTACCAGGCTCTTCTCCTGGGCTGGGGCCCTACAGGTCCAGCACCACCTGTGGGCTTGGGGGCTGGTCTCTGTTCAAGGTCAGGTTGTGCCTAGAGGTGGGAGGGTCCATGGTGAGTTTGTACCTTAGGAGGTCTAGTGACAGCTGGCTCATCCCCAGCCACACGGCCCCTGGCCTCCTGCGAGGAAGGGGGTCTGGGGCAGTTCCAGCCCAGAAAGGCTTGTTACATCGTTTCTGGGAACTGGCCGAAGTGACCCTTGGGTAGGTCCTGTGCACTTGAGGATGGATAGGAGAGTACAGTCAGGGCTCGTCTTGGGGTCACTGCTGCTGCCCCCCAGATTGAACGGCCTGGCTTTGGGGACATGGGGCTGGGATGGCATGGTGTGCAGCCCACAGTGACTAGGTTTGTGGCTTTAACAGGTGGCCTGTCTCAGCCAGCCTAACCTGGGAGTGTCCCACGCCCTGTCTGAGGGACATGGGTGTGTGCAGGGACCCACTGACCGTGGGACAGCAGGGTAACACTGGGGTGGGTGCCAGACGCTGGGAGTCCCCAGCAGATGGTTCTCCAGCTTCGGTTGTGGTCCAAGTGTGGATGAGTCTGTAGACCTGTCCCCAGGGAGGTTTTGCCTGCTTGTGGGAGAGGAGAAGCTGGTCAGCAGGCTGGGTGGGACTGGAGCTGCCATATGTGGAACCCTGATGTGGCCAAACCAGGGCACACTGACGCCCTCCCTATGGCACCAGGTCCTGCCTTGGGGGTTGGGGGCACCATGACTGTGGGCAGCTCCCTAGACCTTGGCTCCCCATCCCCTTCTGAGGCCTGGGTTTGCCTTCACCTGCCCTGCCTGGCTCTGCTCTGTGTAGCCTGTGGCCCGAGAGCCCGTGGTGTGCCACCCCGACCTGGAGGGGCTGCTGCAGGCCTGGCCTGAGGAGCTGCCCGAGGAGTTCTTCGAGGTGACCGTGGACGATGTGCGCCGACGCCTGGCCCAGCTCAGGAGCGAGCGGTGGGCCCCTCCCTCGGCTCCTACTCCCTCCCTGTCCCCAGCCCCTCCTCCTCAGAATCCTGAGCTTCCTTTGGGGTCCCCCTTCCCCTTCCTGAACATGGGTGAGGGGTGAGTAGGTGTGGGGGGAGTCTACTCTGGCCCTGCCCCCAAGCCACCCCCTCCCTATGTCCCCAGGAAGCGCTTGGAAGAAGCCCCCTTAGTGACCAAGTCCTACCGGGAGGCCCAGACCAAGGAGAAGCTGGAGCGATACCCCAAGGTCAGGCACCCCTAAGGGCCGGGGGGCTCTTGAGTCTCTCCCTCCTGTGGGCCTGCTTGGCCATGCTGCGGAAGGACCAGGCAGCCCCCTCCCCCAACAGCAGCCCTGGTCAGTGGCCACAATAGGGGTCCCCACCACTCTTGAGGACAGGGCCAGGGAGAGGGGTGGCCCAGTGGGCTCAGCCATCCTGGTGACACTTTGCCTGTATGGCCAGGTGGCTCTGCGTGTCCTGTTCCCTGACCGCTACATCCTGCAGGGTTTCTTCCGGCCCAGCGAGACTGGTGAGGGTGTGGCCAGGTGGGCGGCAGGGAGCCTGCACTGGGTCTGAGTGTGGGCTGGCTGGGGCATCATGGTGCGGGCAAGGATGAGGCTGTGATGCCATCTGACCATCTTCCCCCTCCTGCAGTGGGGGACCTGCGTGACTTCGTGAGGAGCCACCTGGGGAACCCTGCGCTAAGTTTCTACCTGTGTGAGTGCCCTGGCTCTCATTCTTGCCCAGTGGTAGGTGGGCGGGACTAGCAGTCTGGGGTCTTGACAGGGACCTGCCTCTCTCTGCAGTCATCGCCCCTCCTAAGACTGTCTTGGTGGACGACACGCTGACCCTCTTTGAGGTACTGGGAGCAAAGGGACGGGCGGGCAGCAGCTGCAGGAAGGGTGAGGTCGCCACCTTCAGGGGACCAGCAGGCCGAGGTGGGCCACAGAGGGGTTTCCGGCAGCTATCACAGCACCAGGGTGGCCATACTGGGGGACACTGTGACATCCTTTCTGAGGACTCCACTTGGTCCTCACTGTGGGGAGGGTAAGCCTGAGGTGGGCAGTCTGGTGCTGCTGCCCTAGCCTCTGGCCCTGCTGGGCCTCGTCCAGAGTGCAGGGTGTCTGGCCCTTGGCCATGAGGGAGTGCAGTCCTGAACCCAGCCTTCAGCTGAACACTTAACCCCCCACAGTCCCTGGGCCTCTAATTAATAGCAGGACCAGGGCCCCAGGGAGTGCCGGGTGGGGCTGCCGAACCAAGAGGAACAGTCCTGGGGCAAGGGCGCAGGAGGGCAGGATGGTACCTTCCCTCGCCCCTGGGGCCCCCTTCCGGGTAAACATGGACCAGTGCCCTGCGTGCTGATGCCAGGGGACTCGGCCTACTACCACAGCCGTCTCCTCTCATCGGTCAGGCGGCTGGCACCTCAGCTCACCTTTCCCTCTCTCAATGTGCACCCTCCCTTCTTGGGCCTCAAGGGGTGGCCCTCTTGCCCCGTGGTGACTGCCTGCAGTTTCTCCTCAACCCTGGGCCTTTCCCCAAGACCCCTACCCCTGCCCAGCTGGGGCACACGTCAGTCTGGTGAATGAGCAGAGGGTTGCTGCTGCCCGCCCTCCACTGCTCCGAGGAACCCACGGGCGGAGCTTCGGAAAGGACCTTGGGGAATCAGGCCAATTGGGAGGCTGGCTGGCTGGGGGCCCCTGTGGTGTAGATTGAGTCCCCCATCTCCTTGTGCTCAGGGAAGGGGCAGGGTAGCACCCCAGACCCTGCCTGGCCCATGGCAGTTGGGGTGCCAGCCTGGGAGTCGGGCCTTCCCTGGCACCTTTCTCCTGGTGCCAAGGTGGAGAAGCTTGGCTTAGGACCACCTTCCTTGAGGGTGAGGGGAAGCTTTGGGCCTTCTCGAGGCAGTGAAATCTGGGGTGGGGTGGTGAGGATGCCCCACCTTCCTTCTTCCCAAGAGACTTGTTCCTCAATGGGGGCCATCCTGGGGATCCAGCCAGCCCAACTGGGCTTCTGGGGGATGCTACTAGGATCCCTGTACCTGGACCCCAGGCCCAGCACACACCCGGGCCCTGGCCAGGGAGTGAGAGGACATGGCCCTGCCCAGCAGCCCCCCTCACCAGCTGCCCTCTCCTCTGTGGTGTGTCCACCCTGAAGCTCCCGTCACTTTGATCCGGCTCTGGTTGTCCCTCGGCACAGGTTCTGTTTGACGGCTTTTACAGTTCCAGTGAGCCCCTTGCTGTCCCCTCGGGCAGGCGGCCTGAGAGCTCTCCCTCCGCACACCTGCTGCTGGGAAGCCCCCGCACCTCATCCTCCATCCCTCTCCTATGGGCCAGGGAGGCTGTGGTGGAGGAGGGGTGCCTAAACCCTCCCCAGACAACCCTGGTCAGCTCTGGTGCTAGGCCTCGGGACAGTGCTCCATCCTCACACTTGTGCCTGAAGGAAGGAGCACCCAGGCCTGCCCATAGGCCAGGAGTGGAGTGGGTGACAAGACCCAAGGAAGCCTGGCTCCGAAGCAGAACCTTGGTGCTCCTGGGCCTGGCCTCACACTGCACCCTGGCCTGGGAAACTTGCTGTCTGTCTGGCTGTAGCCTGGGGCACAGAGGGAGCCCAGGAGAGCTGGTCTCTCCAGCTGGTTGGTCCCCGTGGGGGTCACACCGTGCAGCCCACATCTGCCTGTGCCCATCGCTGCAGCTTCTGTCCCTACCGCACAGGCAGCTTTAGCTCCAAGGTGGGGTCTGGAGGGTGCCACGGCTCTCGTTAAGATTGGGGGGGGGTGGGCATGCTCAACCCGTGCACACCTCCCTCCCCCCAGGCAGACCTCTTCCCTGCCGCCCTTGTGCACTTTGGAACACACCAGCCATCGGGTAAGTGCCAGCCTGCTGCCCAGGCCTCTGCTTGCCACACCTGGGGGGGCAGGGCACGCTCTGTCCTGTGTCCTAGGGGCAGGCTGGGTGGCGTTGCCTGGGCCTGAGGCCACCTATCTCCCGCAGACCCCTACCTGGCGCCCCAGCTGCTGGAGCGGACCGTCTCCCCATCCTCGGCAGACAGGCTGGTGGCCAGGTGAGGCCTGGCCTGGGCTGGTGGGGTGGAAGGCTGGGCGCTGCGGATGCTGGCACTGGGCGCTCATCTTCCAGGTACATGGCCAGGGCGCCTGGGCCCCTGCCTTCCCTACCAGCACCTCCGGAACCTGAGTCTGAGGCCAAGCCGCGCGCTGAGGAGGCCCTGAGTTCCCCTGAGCCTGCTCCGGGGCCAGCCCGGCCCCCCCAGAGGAGTCTGGGCAAAGTACCCAAGTGGCTGAAACTGCCAGGTACCTGGGCAGCAGGAAGTGGTGGGGGGGTGGGGGGTGAGCAGCCTGGGGTGATACTCATCCTGTCTGTCTGCAGCCAGCAGGAGGTGAGAGCCAGCAGCCAGAGAAGCCCTGTCCCCAAGACCCCCACAAGCCAGAGGACCCGCCGCCCCCCCTCCCCTCCCGCGCAATAAACATGGTGTGCTACTCAGGGTTTTCTCATTCTGCTTGTGTGCGGGAGGGGGGGTGGGGGGCAGAGGAGATTCCAAAGCCAGGCCAGAGCAGGATGAAAGCCCCTGGGGAGCCCAGATCGGGCCTCCCCAGCCTGCCACTGTACCGCCCTCAGGTCTGATGGTCTCCACATGGTGGGCTCTGGGTCACTGTTCCCCTGTATCCTGGTCCTTCCGCAGTGAGCTGGCCTGACTCCCCTCCTGCCCAGCCACCCAGGAACAGACAGACAGACACACACAGACACAGTTGGTGTGACTGCATCCTCATTCTGAGTGGGGGTGGGTGCGGGGCAGTGCTGTAATGGCAACAGACAACAGGGAAGCTGCTTTATGGGAAGAAGCTTAGTTAAGACCACAGGGGTAGGGAACGCTTTACAGCTCTGGGGACCGACAAGTGGCAGTACTAGGTCTGCGCCCAGGACCCTGGTTCCCTGAGCACAGCCCCTCAGCAACCTTGAGGGGGCGCCCACAAAGCAACCACAAAGGGGGCACCTGCCATTCCCCAGACTGGTGGCTGGCTGACCACAGGACCTGGGTGGCAGGTGGCTGGTCGGTGATGGACAGGTAGCCTGGTGTGCAGGGCAGCTCTCTAGAAGTCCAGAAGCTAGGGAGCAAAGAGGGGGCGCTCAGAGCCTTTCCCCAGGAACTCCAGGCTTCTGTGGTGAGTGGGTACCCACGTACCAGCTGAGGGAGCACCTTCTCCAGCTGGTCCACGTCCACGCAGGGGAGGTCCTCAGCCTGGGCCTGCCGCACCCCACGCACAGCCGCCTCTACCACACACAGGGCACCTGAGAGGTCTGGGGGGCACCCATCCCCAGTGCTCCTAGCCCTGTAAGGGCGTGTTGATGGGCCGTGAAGCCAGGAGCAGGGACTTACCCACAACGAAGATCCTCAGCATCTCAGCCATCAGCTGCAGAGCATCCGTGCCGACTGGGGGTCATGTGGG